CACACACACACACACACACACATACCTACACACACACATACCTACACACACAAGTTCCAAGTGCAAGAAACATCAACGGCAGACACATAAAAAAGAGGAAAGGCAGGTTCAACAAACTGACAGGGTATAAGAGCCTGAGGTTTAAACAATTCAGTTGGTGTCAGTAAGAGCGTTACAAGACTCTAGAATCTACCTAGCACTGATAAACCATGAATAGAAAAAAGATACACGAACAGATTGTGTTTTAAGAGCCCCTCTAAATCAAACAAAACAAAGAAAGAAACAGACAAAAACGCGCCTAAGAAAATAAAAAAAAACCCATTAAACAAAAACAAAAACAAAAACAAAAACAAAAAAACGTTAAGCAAAAACAGAATGCCACTTTCGTTAAGTCACCACCACCCTCTTCATTGAATTTAATCCAACCAAAGCAATTCCTAAAGTCGCATACGTTGTGGTCTATCAGTGTTCTACATCAGTGCTTCTTGACCCAGTGTCTGGTACCCCTACAGCTCAAAAGCCAAGATAAGAAACGATATTAACTAAAGGGCAAACTTGCTACAAACGAATGTAAAACAACGTTAATGAAACATAGGGTAAGGTAAAAGGGGTGGCAAATTTCGTGTGAAAGACTCATGGACATGTGGCACTACAGAGGGTTAAGAAGCACCGTTCAAGTGAATACATGTAGGGACTAAGCATTACTTACAGGGGCAGGTGCGCGCGCGCGCGCGGTGCGTGTGGTTTAGTGCGTGAGGCTGCTGGGTTCCACGGCGGACCGCATGTTTTGGGACATGATCGGGTATGAGACGAGCGAGGTGGAGGGCGCGCCCAGGTTTTGTGTGAGCGAGTGCGCCACCTGGAGCTGTGCCGCGTTCATGGGCGCCATGGAGACCGCCAGGTTGGACTGCGTCAGTCCCAGCGCGCCGGCCGCCGCCACGTTCTGCGTGATGGTCACTGTGGGGGTCAAGGCCGCTGGGGCAGGGGGCGGGGCCAGGCGCTGCTGCTGTGCTGCCGTCTGCAGGGCGTGCTGCGTGGCTAGGTCACTGTTGAGCGCCACCTGCTGTGTTAGGCTAGGGCTGACCACCGCCATAGTGGCCTGACCTCCGGCCGCGTGTGCTGGGGAAACCGCCGCCGCCCCACCCACCCCCATGGCCATGGCGGAAAGCGAGTGCTGGGTGCCGGGAACATGCATTGCCGTCGCTGCTTTGCTCACGCGGTAGCGCGCGTTCTGCTCCAGCAGCACCTCGTTGATGGCCGTCAGGTCCGACACTTGCTTCTTCAGCTCGTCTAGCTTGCGTCTGAGCATGAGGTTCTCTTCTTCCAGCAGCGAGTAGCTCAGACCCCCGCCGCGCGTGTGGCTGCTACAGTTGTCATAATCGTCATCCGCCCGCCTGCGTTTCGCCTCGGGCCCGTGGTCGTAGGAGCGGTCGTGGTGACGTCTGTCCCCACCATCCCCGGAGCTCTTCTCGGAAGCCTCGTACTCCCCGTTCACGTGACGGTACTTGCACTTTGACCCGCGCTTACACTCGCCGTTGAGAAAGTCTCTGCATACAGGCACGTCCGCCTTCTGTACATTGCTGGGCGGTAGGGTCTTGGCGTAGTTGAGCCGCGAGGGCAGGAGCCCGGTGCGGTGAAAGTACTCCTCTTCATCCCGCGAGCAGTGGAGGAACTTGCACGAGGGCCTGGTACAGCCGTTGTTCTGGTAGTCGTGGCAGAAGGTGAGATCCCGCCTCGGGGGCGGCTCGGGGCGGTCCTCCACCACGGGGTGCCGGTACTTGCAGCGCTTGCCGCGCGTGCACACGTTCCTCATGTAGTCCCGGCACACGTCGTCCTCGTACTGCTCCAGCCCGCCGCCGTTGACGCTCTTCCCGCCCGAAGACAGACCGCCATTCGACATGCTCGCATCCTCGCTGCCGGAATCACTTTTAGAGGACATTTCGGAAGGAGAAAGAGCACAGAATTAATGGGCGCCTTAGTCGGTGTTGTAAAGAGACAAGAGAACAAGAGTAGAGGTATTGATAAATTAAAAAAGGCAAAGAGTAAAACGGGAGCGCTTTCAAGTAAAACTGTTGGTGGTAGTGGTCGAAGTTCTTGAGAAACCTTAACACACGCTGAGGGAAGATATGGAGGTGAGTATGAGGGCAGTCAAGGGTTCAATGTTTGGTCAATGAAAAGTCAGACACGTAGGATGAACACAGAGAATGCGCACGCAGGATTGACATAGAACAAGACAAAAGCGCTGTCTGTGTCTCTAGCTGACAGAGCCTGCGCGATCATGCACAACGCAAGCCACAGTTTGCCGCCTGGAGCTGCTGACGCTGCAGCTGCAATGCTGCTGAAAGGCGATCGCTTGGCTGGGCTGGCCGCAACAAGCGAGTCGCTGGGGATTGGCTAGCCGCTGTATGCAGGGCGTGCGGAGCTGAGGTCGCTATAAGCAGGGTGTTAGGCTGGCTGCTGCTCACAAAACGCCGCAAAACGCTCACAACAGCAGGGAAGCTTTCGGTTGACTTCACTTCAAATTCTGAAATAAAGAAAACAGCGCACATGTAAGTAATGAGACGAGCAGGGGCTCTCTGCTCTCCAAGGCGATAAGATGCCTTACAATAAAATGATAGCATAGCCTGTTGTCAATGTGGAAAGCTATACAAGGAAAGAACGTAAAATGGGCTGTCTACACAAAGTTGCCAAGATCAGCCAGAGGATAAGGCCGAAAAGCAAGAATTAAATCACAGAGAGAAATTAGATAACAGGGAAAGAGTACAGTCGTTTTTGATGATCGTGTGTACATGAATTTACAAGCCCCAGGCACTGCTAAGGCAAAGCAGAACTTCACACACGCACACACACACACAACACAACACACACGTACAATCACACACAAACACACACACACACACACGCACAACACATCACACACGTACAAACACACACAAACACACACACACATACACACTTACACATCACGAGCACTCTGGCACACATGCTTACACAAAAAGTAAACAAAAATTAAAACCCTTCTTCGATTCACACCACAAGTCCCCATTAATGCCTGCCCTTGAAATACTCCATGGCATTAGAATTCCATTAAAAATAACCCAACCCCATTATTAAAAAAACATCAACAACCCTGTCCCAGAAACACCACAGCAGCACGTGAACAGATTGTCGTATTGCTATTGACATATGATATACCAGTCCACATTGAACACCTACACAACTGGTTGTGCATAAAAGACCAAGGAAAATTCCACAGCGATCTCGACCGAACAACGTTGAGAGAATGTGAGGCAAGGTGAAAATGGAGCAGAGGTGTATATATATATATATGTTATAGGCCACACAC